AAGGTAGGCACCTATGATGAAAGACAGCTAGCTGGCGTTTTCATGTCCTCCACTCTCAATGGCCATGTCTCGCTCACAGCCATAAAGGAGGACGGAGAGGACTGCTGAGCAGTACACCCGCCCTTTGGTTGATAGCCGGATATCACGTCTACGCCAGAGACGGCGTAAACTGGCATATGCGAAACTAGCCCTCTGTATCTGTACTGAGATTTCTTCAAAGATGAACCCGTTGGGGCTGATGGTACTTCCCAAATTGATTGAAGATTGCGAGGGATTAGCTTTATTTCTTAGGTAGTAGCAGTTTGGACTGAAAATCTCAGAAACAGTAGTTATCTCTAATGTATTGGAATATGTTGCCACGGCAAATTATACTTTGTTTCATTTTTAGTAGATATTTGCGAATCAGTCGGTTATAAACATTTTTACATAATCATAGGAGTTCACAATGACAATATAGGTCATATTGTGTAACTGCAGAAGGCAAGAGACTATTAGACTATCTGTATGCCGATGAACTTCCCCTCACATACTACTGATAGATCTTATCAGTAGCACACGTCACAATATTTTAGTAGATTAAAACAAAGTTCCCCACTCACTGGAGATTGCAGCCATATCCAGACACCAATGAGTCCCAAATAGGACGAAATGTGCATCCTGGATTCCACTGCTAGTCACCATCCACCACTTGACTTCAAATTACATGAATAGACATCGTCGAAGCATCTGCACAAGGAGTTGACATGTCAACCTGAAACCGAGCACTTTGGTCCAATCATCAATCGATGGGAAAGTCTAAATTCAATTATATAAAACTCACTCCTGACGAAATATAGTCCACAATATTAATACTATTATTATTAACAAACCATTTAATGACGCGTTTTATTTATTTATTTAATTATACTTTTCTTAGGTGCGTTCTCTTACTGAAACAGGTCTTCAACAATTGAGTATTGATTTATCTCTGTGTGAATCATTTGCACGTTCACAACCGGTTCCAGGCCTTGATCGTACTACCTTATGGTTAATTTTTGCTGATCTACGCCAGTTATTAGATTTATATCATAAAGATGATTGGGCAGCATATATTGCATTTCGTAAAAGAGTTGACGGTTAGTTTGTATATATATGTATATGTGTATGTATGTATATTTTTCCAATATTTCAATTCTTTACAGTTTTGCAGATTATAGATTAAAAACTCGCCTAATTTCTTAATTTACTAGCTGGACCCCCTAAGCTGTAGGAAAAATGGGAAGGTTGGTTGATGGAATCCAGCGTTGTCCCTATCTGGCACAAAAACTCCAGCCGAATGGCTACAGTAACCTCAAATCACAGAAAAAAACTTAAAACCTATGGAATAGCTTTTATTTCAAGATTAGTCACGAACAACAGACTCCAGTTAGAGAATCATTAAAAACTAGGGAGTACCAGAGAGTTGTTTCGTCCTTGTCTAGACCTATTCATCAACAGGCACCCATGACCCTACCAGGGATTGAACCCAAGGTCTGCGAGTTACAGAAGGTGAGCTCATAGACTTTCGGCCACTGGGACGGAATATGTACTATTGATTAGTCAGTCCTGAACAAAAACGAAACAGCTGTCCCAGTACTCCTTAATTTTTAGTGATTCGTGATCAAACAAGTCCTGCAAAATCAACTACATTAAAGATTGAAAATACAAAGAAAACTGCACAGACACATTTTTAGGTGAAACTAATTAAAGTAGAGAAGATCAAGGCGTTCTCCTATTGAAGTCAACAGTGGAAAATCGCAAGGGTGTGCACCACTGAAGAGTCTCAAACTAGGATGAAACAGTTGTTCAATGTTTCTTGGTGGTTTTTAATGGTCTCTCCGGCTGATGTTAGTTTGTGTGAAAATCCACTTTGTAATTAATCTAGACCCTTAAAAGAACCTATAATCTGTATCATAAGTGACGATATTAAATATCATTTCCATCAAAATTGCAGGATAGGTATGACAAATAGAAAGCTGTGAACTATTAACATAAAAATAAAATAAATCCACTAGAAAAATTTATATAAATGCATTTAATGCATGATGGATTATTTTCTGTATTCATTTACGTTCCTGGTAAAACATAGGGATTCAAACTAGAGGCTTAAAGTTTCGGTAGCAGTGGCGTTTATCTTAACGGGATGAGGTTGCTAGCATCAAGCCCAACCTTCTCTCTTCACGATTGTTGTTACTGGCTTATCCAGGTAAAGAAGTGCGTTCAGTGGCCGGGGATTGAACCCTGGACCACGCGCATGGTCGGTGAGTATTCTACCACTGTGCCACCGATTATAGTTACTTTATAAAAGTTCTCAGTAAATCCGTATCTGCACAGTTTAAACCGGGGAAAACTAAGTAAATCTCGGAAGTCGGAATTCATCTGTTGGTCAATGGGTCGGCTCGTAGTAGCCGAATAATAATCTGAATTTTCTGAGTTCAAACCCTGCCGGTGTGTGGGTACTTCTGAAGAGTCTCAAACTAGGACGAAACAGGTACTGGTTTTCTAATGGTTCTCTAACTGATGTCAGCTAGTGATCAAGACCTATAACTCTTGTCAGTTGGGTTTATAGTTTATTAAGGTTTATTTACTTATTGTGGGTAAGATGGATACATTATTTCGTAATAGAACCAAACGAAATTTGATAATGCAAACCAGAAGGATTAGTATAACGTGGAAACAAAACAGACATCGACATGCTTCCAGATACTTTTGGAGGTTTTAGTCGAATATAAATACCAAATATATATACCACAACTCGTTGACTATTTAGTCACGTCCGTTGGAATTAAATAACCTGTGAATGCTAATATCCATCATTTCATGATACGGCGCTGCTCTTATCAGTACCTTCAATGTGCGTCCACTTCACCTCCCTGATTTTCAATGATCATTCTCCCTCTCTATGTCTCTGTGAATGATTTATCTGAAATCAACACAAATCATAATTTTCGATAAATTCCCCTTCTGGCTCCACAGATATATATATATATATATATATATATATACAGAATATTCTAGAATAGTAGTCAGTAACAATATTAGTGTTTTTTTAAATAATATCGATTTGTACAGTAAGATCACAATGGAATTACTGTTCATTAAAGATGCTGAAATAATAATAATAAAGACATAGTAACAAAGAGAATATCAACTAGAATTATGAAAATTCCACAAAAATTCTGGATCATTCAAACCTAGATGGCCAAGGACAGGGCAATGTCTGAACCAGCTTCTTTTGGACGCATAGATTAGGCTTCTTAATGTGGAACCCAACGGCCTCAGCAATTTTTAGTAAACGAACTCTTAAGGCAAAGTTACGATTTGTTGGTATGCAGTAAATGACTTTCAAAGCCGCCTCGTTGCCATCAATCTTGTGTTCTGTATCCAAAAGATGAGATAGAATGGCGCTACGAATACTCTATTATGGATAAGATTTTGTTTTGATGAATCACACAGTGGTGTGCAGTTATATTAACTGATGACCACGTTTCGAACACAAACTACTGCCACTCATAATCATATCAAGTCACTCACTCACAAAACTGTTTTCCTTCATTTATATACATGAGTGGAATCGATTAAATATCTGAGTTAAGTTCAGTATAGGATAATTTACATTCAGAGATAATAATATGAGTGTTATTAATCAAATACAATCAGTTGGGAAATAAGATTATATTATATTATATTGTGCTGAGAGCTGTTTGCTAGCCAAATTGGTAGACAGTAATTTACGTCAATGTTTACGTTCTCAAGATTTGTCGTGAGAAAATATGAACAAGACTGATTCAAAACCGACCACAGCAGACTTTGCGTAGGCGGATACAGTTTACATATAGATGATCTGACATTCAAGAAACAGTCACAAAGAGATGAAAGATTAACTTTACGTGAGAAACAACCAATCAGAAGACTGTGTTTGTTTGCTTAACTAATCTATAATAATGTACATGAAAATATATAAATATGCTTTAGTTTCCTTAATAAACGATCTGTTGCCTGAGCCTTGTCTTCTGTTGTTACAATATTATTATTTCTCAATCTACATTATCCTATACTGAATTTTATTCAAATGTCTAATCATCAATTCCACTCATGTATATTAAATGAAGTAAGAAAGTTGTGTGAGTGAGTGACTTGATATGATTAGGAGTGACAATAGTTTGTGCTCGGAACGTGGTCGCATCAGTTAATATTACTGTATAACACCACTGTGTGATTTATCAAAATAAAATCTCATCTATAATGGATTCACACTCTACCACAGTGTCCAAGTTTTATACTTGTATCAGCCCTACGAATAGATTTTGTTTCTCCTTCACTTAACCAATCACGCAGGGTGATGTTCGGAAATTCGACAAGGAACACGCCTAATTGTACGGCCTATGTAACTGGCTCCACAGGAGCAGTTAAATTGGTAGATACACAGGGAAGAGTCGAAATTAGGCAGTTTATCTTTTACTCCCAAACGCATAATTCTGCAGCAGGGAATGCTGTTTTTACCGCATTTCTAAGGCGTCATGTTTAGTATCTCGCTGATGTTGTCCCCAAGGAACTGCATTTGTAAGAATAAGGCCATTTTAGGAACTGTTGGTACCTTGGTCTGCTTTGATTTGCGATTCATATTCTTTTCAATAAACTTTTCTGCATAACTATTTTCACTCAGCAACCGTTTAATATTATTAATATTATATTGTAAGTTGTAAACAAGACTAGACTAAGTAAGGCTAGGAAAGACTACAAAAGCATGAATTCTATTTGTATGAAAGCCTGAGTTCTGATAGAAAATGTTACATTTTATAAAATAATATAGATTGGTAATCAGGAATCACTGAAAAATGGGACAGACAGTAAGACAACAACCCTTAATTCTTTATCTGAAATTATGCATGTTTATTGGTTGCTTTCGTTTTCCTATTTTCCTTTATTATTTTACACATTCTATATGGTAACTTTGTCTTTGAATTTTTTTTCATTTTCAGGATCAGGAAAATATGGTAAGTGTGTGTAAAAACAAAAAAAAATGATATTTTGCATTGTTTTTAATTATTTTATTGTTTTATGTGGTTTGAAAGGCGCTCATTGGTCATAACCCCAAGCCCCAAACCTCTGGTTAACAAGGTTTCCAGCATAAATTATTACTGCTCATAATCATATCAATTTTAGTCACAGTTTCACAATTTTTCATATATATATGTATGTATATATTCTCTAGTCTGTCTCTCCAACTTCCATTTGTTGTTTGTTGCGACTTTTCATATCTCCGGTATAGACGTTGCGTTGCGTTGCGTCATTTTGATTGTATGTGTGTGGTGTTGAATCGATAAACAAAGATCCAGTGGTTAACAACTCGGTCTCACCATCCAACTATTTTACTTTTTAATGCTCTCACCCTGTCCTACCCTATCGCTGTGTGATTACATGCAAGTGAATGCAATGAAATGGCTGAGCTCTGTTTTCTCTAGGTTATTTAACTTAGCACGGTCAGTTATTCTAGGTGTAGCTAAATTCTTATGTGAAAGAAAAGGCGTTCAGCGAAGAGTTACTCTTTTCGGTGATATCATTCTCAAGCTGCACAATCGAATATATATATATATATATATATCGTAAATTTTCTTAACAACAAAATGAATATTTTCAAGGATTTGTCATTAGAATTATAAGTTTTAGATAACAAATTACGTAATGTAGAAAGCGTTAATGGGTTACGTTCCAATAATCTAGTTGACTTTGATCTACTAGTTTGATCTATGTAATTGACATCGTAGTCATTACATGGTATTTGGTAAATTATATTATTTTTCTTAATTGGATCTTTTAGGTCCTTAAGCCGATAAAGTTTGTGTCTGAGAGAGTTAGTTGGTTGGTTTAAATGCCACCCTAATTCTGGCCTCATTGAGGATACTACGTAAGGCCTCTAACGTTCCTTCTTCACACGAAGGCCTTACGTAATATCCTCAATGAGGCTAGAATTAGGGTGGCATTTAAACCAACCAACCAACTCTCTCAGAGATAAACTTTGTCGGCGCAAGAACCCAGTAGATTCAATTAAGAAAAATAATATAATTTACCAAATACCATTTAAAATGACTGTGAGGTAAACACCCCGTACACGTGCAATCGGAATGACGCAACGCTTATACCGGAGATATGAAACGTGGCAGCACACAACGAACGGAAGTTGGATAGACAGAAAGAAAGAAAATATATAAATATAAGACAAATTGTGAAACCGTGTGACACTAAATTGATATGATTATGAACAGTAATAATGTATGCTGGAAACGTCATCCAGTTGATAATACTGCATCATCACTGTGTGTGATATTTAAAATAAACTTATCTAATATGGAACTACATTCTACTACAATGCCCAAGTTCTACACTTGGGCAAACTCATCAATCAGATTGTATATACAGCCTAAACACTTAAACATTTATAGATACTACAAGTTCTTAACCTCACCTCACGAAACTTCAGTGATTAGAAGGTTGTACAGACAAATAAAATGGACTGTATACATTGATGACATGCTAGTCATATTGTGGTGATTTTATCAATTGACTGACCTACTGATTATCACAAACAAAACTGCACACAAGTGTATCAGTTCAAGTTGCCACACTCTATGTATCACAAAAAATAATAATAAATAAAATAATAATAAAAATAATGGTGAAACTAATAATGATAATATAAATATGAGAGAATATAAGGCATCTACAGTAGTTTTACGATATAAGGAGCGGACATCTGAAACCCTCCCTACGTAGGATTCTCAATAAAGCAGGAATTACAGTGACATTCAAACCTACAAACTCACTCAGGCAGGGACAAGCTCTGTAGATTAAAAGACCCTGTTGACCCAATTAGACAAAATAATATAATTTACGAAATACCCTGCAATGACTGTGAGGTCAACTACATAGGTCAAACTAGTTAGTCGGGGTTAGTCAGATTGTTGGAACATAAGAATTCAGCTAAGGTAAGAATGGTTGACCCCGAGAAGATAAGTAATTTAGAAAAAAGCGCAACGATTTCGCTACATGCATTAACACACAACCACACAATAGGCTGGTGGGAGAAGGTTAAAATTCTGAGAAGTAATCTATATAAGTGGAGAGGGAGAGATTGATTACTGAATCCCACCTGGTTCATCGAGTCTACACCCAACACATGCAACAGAAATGACTCAATGCAAATACCAGAGATATGCATGGAAGATATTATTATCACCAGTCAGTCAAATCAGAGGAGGATAATAAATAATCTCAAAATTCTATTTCAATTCAATTCACGTACATCATAACATTCTAACAAGTTAATTATTTTGACTATAAAAACACTCGTCTTATTTCCCATCTGATTGTATTTGATCAGTAACACTCATATTATTATTTCTGAATGTACATTATCCTATGTTGATTTTTATTCAAATGTCTAATCATCAATTCCACTCATGTATATAAATGAAGGAAAAAAGTTGTGTGAGTGAGTGACTTGATATGATTATGAGTGGCAATAGTTTGTGCTCGAAACGTGGTCATCAGTAAATATTACTGTATAACACCACTGTGTGATTTATCAAAATAAAATCTTATCTATAATGGAGTTATACTCTACCACCACAGTGCCCAAGTTTTATACTTATATCAATGGTATCACACAAAAGTAGAGAAAAAAGATTTAAAAATAACCTATGATGCGTAGAAATTTACAGCAGAAAAAATAGTAACATTCAAAAACGTTAGAGCTGTTAAACTGATAAAGGAGTTCACCAAGAAGGTGAATGCATCTGCGCCATAGAGAACGTTTTTAAGCCACATATAACCAACAGTCTCGAGATATTGGTTCTTGGAATCGCGAGAACCACAACCAAAAGGCTTACAACTTCCTACGTGGCTGGCTTAAACTAACTGTGAAAAATTTCTTGGACTGATTTCAAGTTTTGGTTTATGACTACATCTAATTGTTTTCCGATCGAACCTTATGTCAACTAATGCTGCTCTATGAGTAGTAAGGCGGTGACTCAACACCATGCCCTAGCCATCTTAATCGATGTAACTTCATAATCTCAATATTTGACTTAGCCTCTTTTATTATTTGGTTGACCTTATTCAAATATTATTTTTGTGGATTTAATTGTACTGTTTATTTCATACCGCCTCTTGTCGTATTTTATTATTAGTAGAGTAAAAACAAATTCTATGTTCTTATTAATCTTTCATTTCAAAATGAAATTAATTAATTATTACTTCTGAGCACTATTATTATTATTATTATTATTCCCTTGGGTTCCGAGTGCAACATAGGGCTTCAACAACACCTCTCCACTTCCTTCTATTTGGTGCTGTCCTCTTCAGCTGGGTCCACGATTGCCCATAATCACTCATCTCCTCCATTTCACCCTCGTACTCACGACCCATTTGTCGCTTCCCATTCGGATTCCACTCTAGTGATGTCATTCGACGGCCTCCCCAACATATGCCCGATCAATCCATTTCCATTTTCTCCTACATATTTATTTGTTGAGCGATCGGCTCTCGCTTGTTGGTTTGTTCCCAGCCAGCCAGAGTTTTGTGTTGCTAATTCTTACTGCTCGGTCGGCTGGCTGGCCATTTGATGTTCAGTATGTAGCCAGGCAGCGAAGTGGGCAGCTGTTGATAAAAGTCTAAAGTGGCTTGTGGGAAATCCTTTTGGTGAAATGCAGTGCAAGTTTCTAACCCGTATAGAAGAACTTACTGGCTGACTGACTTGAAATTTGTGTGGAAAATCCGAATCTCATTGTGTACAGATTGTTTTTTTTATTCCTTTACGTTCCCAGTGGAACATAGGGCTTCAAGCTAGAGACTTGAAGTTTGGGTAGCAGTGGTGTTTACTTTTACGGAATGGAGTTGCTAACCAGTCTGAATACTGGCTTAGTGAGGTAAAGGAGTGCGTCTGTTGCCGGGGATCGAACCCCGCACCACCTGCATAACTGGCGAGCATTCTACCTAACAGCAAATCGTTATTTGTCAGGGTTGTTATTAAAACTTTCATTTAGAAAGTGATTTCGCGTTCGTATATTTTAGTTACATTCAAGTTTTATTACTCAAACGTATGCACAAACCTCCTTATTATTATTATCATTATTAATTTTATGTTTTTATTTCAATAAATATATGTAGGCAGCCCTTATGATCGTGTTCCTCCAAGTGTAGCAATCAAGTTATTAGAACGTGTACGTGATTCTGATAAAAAGCGTACAGGCTTCTTACAGGCTATGCGTAAAGAAGAACGCGGGAGGAAAAAACGACTAGACGATATTATTCGTCAGTTACGTGAATTGAATGTCACACCTCGAAATAATGCCAATACCTAACTAACTAATAATTAATTAAATGATTAATTAATTAAGTAATATCATGCGATTGTTTCAGTGCGAAAGGAAAGTTTATTTTGTTTGTTTAATTACCTAATTTATTTACTTATTTATTTATTAACTTGATAATTCTATATATTTTATATTCCAAATGAAACAAACATTCATCCTGTTTTATTTTCCATTTTTTTTGTATCAACAATTATAAAATTCACGCGATAAAAAAACAACAGCTTCTTTTGGTTGTGCATGCTAATTTTTCAGATATACGCTTATTACTACTTATTGCTGATTATTAGTAGTATTATTCTTGTAAAGAAAAAAGAGAAATACTTGTCTACTTTTTGCGACTTGTTCTTTTTCTCTTGTTTCCTTTCTTTTCTTCTTTCTTTTTTTCTATGAGAATATGTACACAATAATTTGTAAAGAAAATGCATCCCCTGATTTTTTTGGCTTACGATGTGGTGGTGTTGTTGTGTTTTTACTATGTGTATGAGATTTCTAGATCAATTTTCAAGAGTTGTTTTGTAAGGATTAAATCAGTTAAAGAACAATTGAAAACCGACGGGGAGTACTGGACAGCTGTTTCATCCTTATTTTGGGAATTATCGGTAGTATACATCTATAGGGATTTAAACCCGTGACCTTCCAGTTGCAAGTCAATCTAGCAGAACATTCAGCCACTGAGAGGGACCTGATTCAATGGCCAGTGCATGAATTCTAACTTCTACCAATTCGAATCACGAATCACATTGGTTGATGGTGGCGCTAAAAGTCATGGATTGGTAGAAGTTAGAATTCATGGACTGGCGATTGAATTGGGTCCTTCCCAGTGGCTGAATGGTATACATGCGTGCCTTGCAACCGAAAGGTCCTGGGTACGAACCCCAGTAAGTGCGTCCTGCCGATGAAACAGCCTTCTAGTACTCCAGTGCTGGTTTTCAATGGTTCTCTAACTGATATCAATGCGTTGTCCAGCTCATAGGCATAAAAACATCAAATCGCAGGGAGATACATTTGATGCCAGAGAAAGCAAATGATACAGCATTGTGGAGACACTTGGGAGACGTGAAAGGAACATAAAGAAAGACAATATGAAGGAAGGGCAGAAGTAGCACAACACGGAAGATCTCTGCAAATGGTGACTTGAAGATACGGTGTAGATAATTTGGCTATATAGAGATACCTATTCGCAAATAAACATTCCTTTACCAAGTCTTCGTCTACTACCGTTTCAATATGACTTGAAGCGAACATAAAGGATATGGAGGTGATGAAGACAGCTAACCAACAAACACAAAGAAACATACTACGATCATCTTATAACTATCGAGAAAGCCGAGAACCTGCTGTATGTACCACAGGCCTCAACATTGCATCCCAATTTACGTGTGTGTGTGTTTGGTCAGCACACATTATTATCCCCTTGGGTTTCGACTGAGAAACAGGCCGTCAGAAGCATATCTTCAGTTCATCTTGTTGTTTGCAGTCCTCTTTACCTGGTCCCACGATTGCTCATAGGCTCTCATCTCCATTATCACCCAAGGACCAACGCCTAACTCGTCGTTTCCCATTCGTGTTCCACTAGAGGGCCTGGTTCACGATGTCACTCAACGGTCTCTCGAGAAGGCCTATCTTGCCTTTCCAATCCTGTGTTCGAAGTAGGGTGGAGTAAAATTTCGCCTTCCATGTAAAGTTGGCAGTACATATACCCAAATAGCTAGGAACACAAGTGATTTGTGAAACTACTATAAATCAAGGTGGCAGATCACCAACTGCGCCCATAGCAAAAGATTTAATGATTGATATGAATCACCAGACTGATATCAATCAAGACGTCTTTGAAGAATATTTGTAAAAACAGGCAGAGACGCTTGCTGAAATACGCAGAGGCTATAGCTATTCGTAAATTGACTTGACAAGTAAAGGAGTGTGATCAGACTGTTCGAAATATATTGTGCAAATACATTAAGCTTTTCAAAAAATAACTTCTGCTTCTAATAATACCCGTTTATCAAATAGACAGACCAATTGTTTGTTTTAAATGATATTCAGTTTAATACATATTTTTTACACTCAACAGCCTACTTTGAAGAAAACAAGTAGTAGTCAAAAAATATTGACGAAAATATGGTAAACCTGACGTTTACGGTTTTCGCATGATAAAGAAACTATAAAAGAAGAACAGGAAAGCATATTCAATTCAGCAATCTTTTTCCTACCAGCTGTAACTTGAATAACACAATTTCTAATGCAATATAGTTCATTTAATGAAGAGTGAGACAATTGAAAAGAAAAAATAATTACTAAGAGATTATAATTAAATACACAGTAAAAAATACGCTGAACCAAAAGTGGCCAAGTTAAATAAAGTATAACGATCCATCCAGGAGTGAGAACGCACCAATGACCTTGAACGCATCTTATTCGTTGGATAACATACAGCACCTACTATTATTATTATATAGACATCCCGATCCCGTTTTTAAGGACGATTGTTTGGATAATATGTTGATATACGGATCAGAAACTTGGCGGGTCTCAAAGAATATTTCCAACAGCCTGTTGCAGACATTTATCAACAACTGTCTTCGCTCTATACTGAAGATCAGATGGCCGGAAAGAATCACCAACAAGAAACTATGGGAACAAACAAAACAAGAAGCAATCGCTCAACAAATATGCAGCTGAAAGTGGAGATGGATTGGACACTCGCTGAGGAGGCCGCTGGGTGACATCGCGCGTCAGGCTGTTGAGTGGAACCCGAAAGGGAAGTGGCGAGTGGGACGTCCAAGGGTGACAGGGAGGAGATCGTGTGAAGAAGAACTGAAACAGTGTGGACTAACATGGATGCAGGTGAAAAGTACAGCAGTAGACAGAAGCAAGTGTAGACGTGCAGTTGAAGCCCTATGTTCCACTAGGAACCCAAGGGAACAATAATAATAATAATAGTTGGTTTAAGGTTTTGTTATCTTTACCAGAATGACAAACTTGATAACACAAAATGATCTTATGCAGAAGGAAGATGATTAAGTTGTTGTTGCATATAAGCTGAGATTTCGTAAATTCTAACTTAATAATACTTCGATGAAGCTATTAGCAACATAAAATAGCCAAACATCAGTAAAAACACCTACCTTGTTTTTCATTTATTGGGAAATTCAAAAACATTTTAATAATAATAATAATGAATGTCTCATACCAATTGCTCACATTCTTTCAGACTATTAAAGCGAAGATTGTTCGAGGTTATAAAAGGTGATGGATGGGTGAGTGGCGGCTAGTACAAAATAGTATGCTATTAAAGGGGAGATAGTAAGACTACAGCGAACAGTTCATCATGAAATAACGAAGATTTGAGAAAAGATATCATTGTATCAGTAATACGTCAGAATAGTATAATAAGGAAAGTATTGAAACAATAATAGAATGACAATAGAAATAGGGTCGTCCGCGAAGTCCTTCTAGAGAATTCTTGTCCACCCTGTCTTCTCGCTTCTCACAGTCTTCGGGTTATTGTTATGTGACTCTAGAAGTCCAAATGGGTTTTCTTAGGAGAACTAATTAAAATCACTTGTTGTAATTGATATTTTATTGTCAGTGATGACGACATCAAAGATTGTGAAACTATCGAATACTTTCCGTAATTCGTGAGTTATAGTTGTAACAAAACTATTCAACATAACAAGAAACTGTTCAACTATAAATATAAATTTCTTTTGAATGAATGTACATCAATGCGATCGTACGATTGTTCGGAGTACCATATACATATATTGTAGAGGAGGCCATGATTATAAATATGCTTCAACTGAAAACTTAGTGGCTTTTGAAAATCTGCTAATTACAAGTAGACAAAGAAAAGTTTTATTTGTACAGAGAATTGCAGCGATATTGAAATAGAAAATTCCAATGTCTTGTTTAGTATATTATATATATTACTATTCCAATGCTGAATTTCGGATGAGTTCTCCGAATGTAACTTTGGAGTTATTTATTTAAATAAATTGAATATTCCCATAATTTATTCAGAACAAAATATTTAGAGCGAACAATTGTTTTCAATAAATTCTTCTTCAGGCTCTACAATTATAAACCCATTAATTTAAGCATACAATAGCCAGTAAAGGCAAATTAGAATCATATCAGAAAGTGTATTGTGGAACAAGTTAAGTTACAAAGGGGAAATTGCAGCTGACATTCTAAAATGTCGACTTAATGGAGCAGTAGATAGAACATTTCCTGCAGCTAAACTGGTACTCAACTAAACCAGTACTCACACAGCAAGTCAAGGATAAATTACCAAAGATGGCCTCATCAATGTGTATCTATGAATTCAACTGCTCATGTGGAGCTAGTTACATTGGCCGTACTCAGAGGGCTTTATCCATGCGCGCACATGAACATGTACGTGTATGGTTGAGTAAAGGAGTAACCAAATGCGTAAATAGTGCAATCTTAGCTCACTTGGTAGATACTGGACACCCGATAAAACTTGACCAGGTGTTCTCAGTTATTTACCGCTTTCCTAGTAATTTATCTAGAAGAGCTCGACTACGTCTTCTATCAGTAGCTGAAGCGGTCGCAATTAATACCAGAAGACCATACAGAATAAGTATGTTCAACCTCTATGTTTACCTTGACCTACAATAAAGCCAACAAATCCTCAATATACATTAACACTATAAATTCCTTTCACAATTTTCTTTTCTTTCCTTCTTCTTCTATTCCTCTGTTTCACTGACAAACGTTCATTTTCGACTTTATGATTTCATGACCTTTCTTATGATTTTATTACCTTAGGTTTAAATAGTGCTTTTCTAACTTGCTATCGTATTTACAAAATCCCGTTCATTCCACTTCATTATTATTATTTGACAATCATTCACCAATAGTGCTTGTAATTTTACACCATATCATCGTTATTATTTTACAATCATTATTACTGTCGTTATTTTCAACCTTGAACTTATGTCTAGATCGCCCCATTCGTTGGTTTATTTTCATATTGTCTCACACACGCTGATTACACTCACTCTCGAAACTTGTATTTTTCTGTTGACTATATATATATATATATATATATATATATATATATATATATTGTTCCATCCCATCTGACTTATACTTGTTCCACAATACACTTTCTGATATGATTCTAATTTGCCTTTACTGGCTATTGTATGCTTAAATTAATGGATTTATAATTGTAGAGCCTGAAGAAGAATTTATTGAAAACAATTGTTCGCTCTAAATATTTTGTTCTGAGTTATTTATTTCGTTGTCAATCATATTTTTACAAAATAACTTTGATGTGCGTCTAGTTTTCACTCAGTGACTAGCCTTTGTAAACAAACTACTAACGATTAATTAGTCTAACATATTTTCACTGTGGAGACAATCAAGAAGACTTGTATTTCTGATAAGCCAATTTAATTGACAACACAGAACTTTGGGTGTTAAAGTATGTACAGGCTAGTGAATCTTTTCAAGATCCAGAATGAAATTGGAGTATTGTGAGCGATAGATAATCATGTCACACAGATTACAATCAAGAATACTTAGTATGCCGAAGAATAT